AGAAACAAAAACGATGAAGCTTGCAATCGTGATTTTGCTGGTGTTGGCTGCAGTGGGCATGGGATCTGCTGGTATATGCTACAACTCACATTGTTCCATAAGGAAAGTGTATTTTTATCCACAGTGTTGCCCATATTCTCTCCATTACGCGTATGTGCGGTTCTGTCACACAGCCTGGCATTACTGCGGCCGTAAACGATCCGCTCGCCTACCCAAAGACAAAGTCGAAGTTGGTTTCCCCTGCGATTTCAACGAGTACGACCTGAACAAAGATGGAACGATCAGCAAGCAAGAGTTCCAGAAAGTCACAAAATTGTCATCACAGGACGTGGCTACCCTTCTCAAGGATTTGGACAAGAACGGCGATGACAAAATCACTTGCGACGAGTTGAAGAAATCAAGTTTAGAATTCGAATGTAAGCTCGTTGGTTGCGGCAAAACTAATGATGAGCCCTGGAATATTGAGTAAATGGCATCCCACACTTCTGATCGTATTTCATACTTAACTATAACCTAACTAGAGCATTATACAAACAATAGTGATAAATATTGTAGGTTTGTTTCCTGGTAATGGATCTTGTGATAGTTCAAACAATACCATATATAGTAATAAACTAATAAAAGTTGCATAGAAAAATTCCCTGTTCTGTTCTCGATTCATTAAAGTATGTCTGATCACGAACACATAATTTTACATCGTATTTGTTTAAATGGCAGGAAAAATGCTGCTTGGTAATGCATGTAAAATTTTTGAAAATCTTTTCTCCAAAAAAACTTCAAAGGAAGGAGACATTACTGATATTGAAACAGCGAACGGCATTAAATAACCTTTCCTCTAATTTCATTGAAGTTTTAATTTTATAGTGTTTCACTAGAACCACCTTATAAATTTCACCAAATAAATTTCAATTTTCTCAGGAGCCATGTACAAAGTCCTTCTTCGACACTTGCATTAAAACATTTTGTTTGAACAATAAACATAATTTTACAAATATTTCCAAATGTGAAAAATAGTACAAAGCCGTTGTAATTGGCAATAACATAACGTCACGATACGGAATGTGGCGAAGTCGTGCCGAGCTTCAAAACATAAGAGACAACGAATTTTACCCAACTCTTGCATTACCTGTGAAAATTAAAATCGAGAAATGCTTTTATCATAATTAATGTAAAACTGCCATCCGACAAATCAATGCAAGCCTTAACGTACATTCTAATATGTTTTCTCTACGACCGTGATGAACATCTTCCAAAATTATCATGAACTGCAAGGTCAAAATAAAGATTAGTTTCAGGTCAATATTTCACTTCAATACTTGATTTTCTTCACCACTAGTACTAGTACTTCTGACAGTCAAATAATATATTCCTAACACTTCACAGACACTCGAGGTTACGCGCGTAGACAAACAAGACGTGTATCTCTCCGTGCGAATTTACATAATATGAAGTATCAAAATAATTATAATACTATTGGACTTTACATGTTAACATCTAGATTCTTTGTGGAATCATAACGATCATTATATTCAATCGTGATCCAAACATAATTATGCAGAAATAAAACGGGATACATACAGTATATATGCTTTGTCTATAATTTTAAACATACTCCAAATTCAGCATTGTCTGCAATGCCATGCAATCACATGCACAATGCTTTTAGTTCAATATTTTACTTTAATATAATGATTCAATATTGGCTTTCCTGACATTCTCATGAACGTTAAATTAAACAGACGTAATCGTATTACATCACTGTCCGGTAAAAACTGCCACAACGCTATACGGAAAAAATATAATCTATAGCTTTTAAAATAAGACATGAAATGGTAAGTAATTCGCATAATTGATTAATATAATTTTTTAACAAAGTTTATTTTCTGTCAAAAATCATCTCCGAGTATATATATACGATTGCTGATTACACTGTATTGGTATGAAATATGATATAATTATATTGATGTTAAAAATGGTATTATTCGCTTAATTGCTGCGGAGCGAGCGAGCCTGAAGCGAGCGAGCGTAGCAGCAGTCTAATTTGTGCAGAGAGGGGGTTCAGAACTAAATTTTATTTAGCGCAAGGAATTGTGGTCGTGCGCATTTTTTATGCGTAGAACACACATTTTAAACTCGCTCATATACAGGATCTTCAAATTTTTGTTAAATTTCAAAGCTTCTGTTCTATTTTGACTATTCAAGGTAAGATATTCTCATCTTTCGTTCATATGTTACGTTTACAGTTGTTTACAATTCTAACTGGTATATTTATGAAACGCTAAAAGCATACAAACGATCACAGCTAGATTCATGCTGTATATATACGAACTATATAAATCATTCTAGAATATTAAGATGTACTATCCAATTTGCTAATTCGCTTTACCTTAGCAGTTGAGCTGTCAGTGCTGTGAAGCAAATCAAGTCTTACATACAGATGCTTTAAAGTCTTTTTTATCCATTGACATTTGTATTATTTTGCTGATTTCCATATTTTGCATCAAATGATGTTTTAAGTATGCGGCTTGACGCTTGCGAGTCGTGTTTAATAACATGACACAGTCGCAGATAAAATATGCAATTGAATTGATCGTCTAAATTGCCTGACTGAATCGCTGAGATTTGTGAAATGTTTGACTTATTTAAAATTAGGCTACTGTAAGCATAGGCATATGTTTTTATTCCTATTTTACAATGAGCTAAATGTTTTTGTTATTTAGTGCTTTTACCGGATCTTCACGTGGTTTCTGATTACACGTCTTCTCGAGCGGCGTTCAAAGTTCAAAGTATTAAGTGATGTTTTGTTACTCTTCACATGAAGTCAAACATTTACATGGACACAACAAAGACAAATAGCATATTTAAAAAACAAATATCCATGTTACCAAAAAATGTTCTATTTTGTTAAACATGTGCTACTGGGCCTGACCCTGTATTTTCGCTTTGTTGCGGGGAAAATGTCGCCACGCGCGCAAAATTCTACCTAATATTACTATTAGTGTTAATACTCCTGTTGTGATTCGTATGTTAAAATATTTTTAAAACTAGCTGCTTCTAAAGACTTTGATTAAACGAGCTGCAACGCGCAAGACAGCATTGATATAGCATATATTGACCTAAATATTGACGTCATTGACAGTGTTCTCGCTAATAGGTTAACATTCATGTACAGCCCCAGCGAGTTAACGCTCAATAGAGGTTCACTTTGCGTTTTTTAAACCTGCTATTGCTATTAGTTAAAACGGATTTAGTTTAATAACATTTCATATAACAATTCACTTGGACCCTAAAATGCTCGCAGCAATCTCTACCTTGCAGGTAACCTAGTTACTGGAGTATTATGTTCGGTGAGTCTAAACAAACACTCCTGACAAAGACCCTCAGGTCGAAACGTCAGGAAGTTTTTGTCTATTTTAGGCCGCTGTAAACCACATTAATGCTAAGTTATTAAATTAATAACGCAAACGTCTTGTAAAGTTTAAATCACAAGGTTAAAAATTGAAATCATTATCTGTTTTGTCACTGCAGACAATGCATACTAATATTGTTTCTGAATAAACTGTCGTGTGGCAAATTAGACCTAATAATTTATAAATCACTCTAAAAGACATCTTTTTCGATATAAGTCTCAAACATAAGAAATACAAAACAAAACTGAGTACAAAAATTCAACAGCAACGTTTTTTCTACGATACAAACACCCGATCCGAACGTTGTATCCAATAAACTAATAGATATTATTATATACATGCACAAGCGCCAGATATGAGGTATGCTGCAATTTTATTGGTTGGCTACTAGACAGATATTAGCTCATATCTGTCTAGTAGAGAAAGTAAACAAAATGGCGGAAAGATTTGGGGAGTTGAGTAAAATAGAAATCCAAGCCTAGTTGATAATAGCACACCAAAATGCACCGAAAGGGCGACAAAGTTTGTGTATATAATAAAACAGTTATTCTGCTCACTCCCGTCGTATATGGCCGATAGCCAACTCGTTGGCTATCACCTCATATACGACTCGAGTTCGCAGAATAACTGTTAATTATATGGACATTGTATCATAGGGGCGGCCCAAAATTGCGCGATATTTTTTCGCGCGAAGCATTTTTCGGCAATTTGTCAATGTAATGTATAATATGTAATTATATATTATACATTACATTGACAAATTGCTGAAAATGTTTCGCGCGAAAAAATATGGCGCAATTTTGGGCCGCCTATGATTGTATCCAGTAAGTTACTGGAAATTGTTTAATACGAAAATTTTTCTTAATAAATAAACACAGACATGTGTACCGAAGTCAGGGTTTTCGACATCGTCGTTGGACAGACTGGCTCAGGCATCTAGAGCTGGTCCACAAAATAACTCGGTCATAAACAGTTGCTATTCTAACCAGAACAGATACCGTAATGTAAGTAATCTGGTACAAATTAAAACAAATAATAATGTAAACCAATCCCGCGTGTTGCCTAACGTGCATGTCGTCAATGCAAGATCTATTTTGGGAAAAGTTGACGAGTTAGGATATTATGTGAGTGAGCACAAAATAGAAATTATCATCGTCACAGAAACATGGCTTTCCGACAACATACCTAATGAAGTGGTTAGCATTTCAAGGTTTACCTTGATACGAAAAGATAGAAAAAGTGGGTTTGGAGGCGGCTGTGCGATTTATGTTCAAGAAGAGATTCCGGCTAAAGTCCGTTATGACCTTTCCGATCAAAATTTCGAATGTCAGTGGTTAATCCTGCGTCCGAAGTGGCTTCCACGATCGGTCTCGAGGATTGCTGTTGCCAGCGTATATTTGCCTCCTTCAATGGATCGAGAAAGTTTGGATGACTTTTATGATCACTGTCGTAAGTTCCCAGCGCAGATCACCAGTCCACGGAGCGCGAGTTAATATATAGTAAAACTTTATGTAAAATATCTGATTTGGGTAATGTGATCTAACTAGTAATTGTAATATGATATAGGGATATACCAAATAATGACCCATTGTATATATAGCAAAATGAAATGTAATCTATCGATAATAAATCAGAATATACAGTCCCTTCGAGTGTGAACGTTTGATGAACCAGAAAGGCAGAATAAACGAAAGATTCTGCAACACAGTGGTCCTTCGAACCGGGATTGTATGCTGGATAGTTAAAGCGGATTGTGGAAATGTTAGTTAGACTCGCACGGCAGTCGCCGCACAAAAGAAAATTGTCACAAAGGTCAGACGACCTAGATCGAACACATGGATGACCTAGCTAAGAAAAGACGCGTACGAGGTGGGCAAAGGTCGTCTACGAAGAAGCTTGTGGCAAAGATAGTCGAAGCGATCGCTAAGTTAAGCGATGAGAGTCCAGAGAAAGACGTCGTGTGGCTGAAGCAGAGTCAAAGCTCCTTGAAGGAAAAGGTCAAAATCTTAAGAGAACTTGACACGAAAATCATCGATGCCCTGAGCGAGTCGAAAGAAGAAGCGGCGGATGAATTGATGGCAAAGGAGATAGAAGAAGCAGACGAAGTAATCGCAGAACTTGAACGCCTTTTACTTGAAATGGACAACGCGTTCGGTAAATTAGAATTGACAACGACAAAACCCGTGGCGATCAATGACAATGAGATTCTGAACGAAAGCCAAACATCGGTTGAAAGCACGGGCAAAATCATAAGAGCAAAGTTACCAAAGTTACGGTTGAAAAACTTTGGGGGGAAAATTTGCGAATGGCCAGAGTTCTGGGACAGTTTTTCGAGTTCGATCGATAACAATGATCAATTGTCGGACGTAGACAAATTTGCATATCTACGCGGATACCTTGAAGGGCCGGCAAAATCGACCATGGCTGGTCTGTCATTAACAGCAAGGAATTATCAGTGCGCGGTGGATCTGCTTAAGAAACGATTCGAGAAAAGAAGTGCAATTCAACGCACACATGAATGTCCTTATTCAACTGCCTGCGGTTTTTAGAGAAAGGGACACTCAAAGGCTGCGGAAGTTATATGACAGCTGCGAAGCCCACAACCGCGCGTTGAAAGCCTTAGGCGTGGGAGAAGAATCGTATTCCACTATTGTTGTACCGGCCATATTGGAGAAGATGCCTGAACAATTTCGGCTTATGATCACCCGAGGAACTGATTTCATTGAGTGGACGATGCAAGAAATGTTGGATGCGTTTGAGAAGGAGTTAGAACTGCGAGAGGCGCACGAAGCGGTGGCGACTAAAACGGAACGGGAGTATGAAAGAAATCAAAGCAGGAAACCAACTGGGGGTCTAGATAACTCGACAGCGGCGGCGTTGCTGGCTGGTCAAGAGAAAAAGAGTTGTGCATTCTGTTTAAAGAACCACGCGCACGACGAATGTGATGGAGTCAAGGATCCAAAAACACGTAAGACCCTAGCTTTAAAGTATGGTAGATGTTTTCAATGTTTAATTAAGGGCCATAGAGCCAGTAATTGTAGTTCTAAAATTAAGTGTCGAAAATGCGACCGAATGCATCATGTCGCCCTATGCGATGCGTCTCCGAAAGACGAAGAGACCTGTAAGAATGAAGAAATCCCATCAACTAAGGTTAACAATAATGTAGCTAGCCCATGTAATAACTTGCTTGCCGGGACAGGTGGTCTGGTTGCCTTGCAAACTGCGCGCGGGGTATTAAGGGGTGAGAGGGTGGCTAAGGTCCGGGTACTCTTTGATGGGGGAAGTCATCGCTCTTTCGTTACATCGCATGCAGCGAGTCTTGTTAATCCACGGGGTTTAAGAAGGGAATTTCTAGGCATTAATACGTTCGGTCAAAAGTGCACGAAGGCTGAACAAAGGGAAGTGGTCGAGCTTAAACTTCAGCCTGTTAATGGGGATAAGATTATCTCAATAGAAGCATATGTGGTACCAGAAATTTGCACTGTGCAGAATAGTCACGTAGAATTAGCTAGAAAGAATTATTCGCATCTAGAGGGGGTATGGTTCTCAGATGTGGTGAATTTTCAGGAAGAATTAGAGGTAGACGTTTTGATAGGGGCAGACTATCTTTGGAATTTCCAAACAGGTGAGACAAAGAAAGGTAAGACAGGGGAGCCCGTAGCTATACAAACTGAGTTGGGATGGGTGTTGTCAGGACCTTAAGGGGAAGAGAGATAGAAGGTGCGGAGTGACTCAGGTGAACTTTGTGGGGCAAACAACGAAATGGGACAGAGATAGCTTAGAAAGTAATGTGGAAAAACTTTGGAGTTTTGAAGGATTGGGTATAATTGAAGAGGACACAGTTCATGAAACATTTCTTGATGGAATATCATTCACAGGTAATCGATACTCGTAAAACTGCCCTGGAAGGAGGATCATGACAATCTTCCAGACAATTACATGAATAGTCTTGCTAGAATGAAAAGCCAGTTGAAACGACTGGAAAAGGAGCCAGAATTGTTGAAAGAGTACGATAGGATAATAAGAGATCAGGCAGAGCAGGGAATCATAGAGCAGGTACCAAGTCTTGAGAAAGCAGGCAAAGTTCATTATCTACCTCACCAAGCAGTAATTCGTAAAGATGCAGTGACAACTAAGGTACGCATAGTGTATGACGCGTCCTCGAAAGGAATAAAATCTAAAACATCGCTTAACGACTGTTTGCATGTTGGACCATCGCTCAATCCATTGCTTTACAGTATATTGTTACGTTTCAGAGAAAATAGAGTAGCATTAGTAGCAGACATCGAAAAGGCATTTTTAAATGTAGAGGTAGACAAGGAAGACCGAGACTCTCTGAGGTTTTTATGGGTGAATGAGATTGCAAGCAGCGATAGGGAGGTAATGGTTTACAGATTTTGTCGTGTAGTATTCGGATTAAACTCATCGCCATTTTTACTCAATGCCACCTTGAGGCATCATGTCTCAAAGAACAAAGAAATAGACCCAGAGTTTGTACGTAAGGTTCTTGAAAGCTTTTATGTGGATGACCTGGTCAGTGGAGAGAGAAGTGAAGGAAAAGCATTTAAGTTGTATGAGAATACAAAGACTAGGATGGCAGAAGGAGGGTTTAATCTAAGGAAATGGCTAACAAATAGCAAAGCATTGAGTGATCAGATTGATCGGAAAGAGAGAGGGATAGATAAGACAAACCCAGATAGCGGGGGGGGAGAGTGAGACTTATGCAAAGTTTTCATTAGGAACAAAGGGGGCCGACTCTAAATGCCATAAAGTTTGGGGCAGGTATGGGATAATTACGAGGATGAATTTAAATTTGAAGTATTTAAGTCAGGTGAAAAGGCAAAGGCATTGCCACCAACAATGCCTTTGCCTTTTCACCTGACTTTACACCTTGTTAAGTGTACTAGCTAGTCTGTTTGATCCGCTTGGCATAATTAGTCCAATAATTGTGTATGCAAAGATTTTGTTTCAAGAAGTCTGTAAGGAAAAAATTGATTGGGATGAGGAATTTGCCGGGGAAACGCGTAGGAAATGGGAAGCCTGGGTTAAAGACCTTCTAGAAGTTAAGGAGATAAGTACACCCCGTTGTATGTATGCCAGTCCAGTAGAGGAGGTTTTAGAGTGTAGTTTACATGGGTTTGGGGATGCAAGTAAAAAATCATATTGCGCTGTTGTTTATTTTGTGTGTCAAACGAGGTTTGGGGTATATGTTCGGTTATTGACCTCCAAGGCTAGGGTAGCACCCTTGAAACAAACAAGCATACCCAGACTAGAGTTGATGTCAGCACGACTCCTTGCACAAGTAGTGAAATCAGTTAAGGAAGCATTTGAAAACCAGGTTAGGATAGATTCTACTTATTACTGGCTTGATAGCATGACAGCCCTGTACTGGATAAAGAATAGAGGTGAATGGAAGCAATTCGTAGCTCATCGTGTGAATGAGATTTTAAAACTGACAACGAAAGGAGACTGGGGACATTGTCCGGGTAAAGAGAATCCAGCCGATGTAGGTTCAAGGGGTGAATTAGGTACACAACTGGAGGGTAACCAGTTGTGGTGGTCTGGACCAAAATGGCTTACAAAGCCCAAAGAAGAATGGCCTAAGTTTGAGAGTGCGGGGAAGAGTCAGACGGTGGTAGAGGAAGAACGCCAGGTAGCAACGATGATTGTACAGGCAGACAGACAATGTAGTGTGAAAGATGTGATTGATATTAACAAATTTAGTAGTTCAGAGAAGCTTTTTGGAGTGACAGCATGCGTGATGAGATTCCTACGTAATGCTAGCGCAAGGAGTAAAGAGAGTCGATAGGCAGTCTGGGGCTCTTTCAGTTGCCGAAATAATTGAAGCCGAAAAAATTTGGATTAAAGAAGCACAGGCAGAACTAAAAACTGAAAAGAAGTTCACCCAACTCAGTGTGAGTTTAAGGTTGAAGGAAGAGGAGGGTATCCTTAGGAGCCAAGGTAGATTAAAAAATTCAGATTTAGAAATTGACAACTGTTTTCCAATTATCCTGCCAAAAGAACATAGACTGACAGAGTTGATTGTCCGAAAATGCCATCAGGAAGTGCACCATTCGGGTGTACGTGCTACGCTGTGCAGGCTACGAACTAAATACTGGGTAGTTAAGGGAAGGCAGTTGGTAAAACGAATTGTGAGCCAGTGTGTAACTTGCAAAAGATTGGAAGGAAAAGCGTATAGCAGAGCACCACAAGCAGACTTGCCAGAATTTAGAGTCAGACAGGCTGCGCCGTTTTCGCAAGTCGGAGTCGACTTTGCAGGTCCGCTTTTTGTCAAACAGTCCGGTAATTGTTCGAACAAAGTGTATATTGCCTTGTTTTCATGCTGCGTGACCCGTGCAATACACTTAGAATTAGTGTGCAACTTATCAGCGGATACGTTTTTATGCTGTTTGAGAAGATTTGCAGCTAGGAGAGGGGCACCCAATCTTATAGTTTCCGATAACGCTAAAACGTTCAAGGCAGCAGAGAAAGCATTGAGGAAGATTTGTAATGAGCCGAAAGTCAGATCGGAATTAGGAGCCAAACGAATAACATGGAGATTCAACTTAGAGAGAGCACCTTGGTGGGGAGGCTTCTTTGAACGGATGGTGCGCAGTGTGAAAAGGTGTCTTAGAAAGGTGTTAGGGAATGCAAAGTTGAACCTTGATGAGCTGAACACAGTGTTAGTTGAAGTTGAAGGCACATTGAATGCGAGACCATTAACAGAAGTATTTGAAGAGCTAGAAGGAGAAGTGTTAACTCCTTCACATATATGGTAGAGCAATCCATTTAATCCCACAGAATGAGGTAGTCATAGGAGCGAGTAGCTGTGGGGAGAGATTTAAATATGTAACGTTAAAGTTGCAGCACTTTTGGAAAAGATGGAAGGGCGAATATTTAGCGGGACTTAGAGAGTTTCACAAGTGCACAAACGGAGGAAAGTTAAGGAAGGTCCAGAAAGGAGATGTAGTGACGGTGTTCGGAGAAGGCGAGAAAAGATGTACCTGGAAGTTAGCAGTAGTAGAAGAGTTAATTGTAGGGAAGGATAAGGAAGTTAGAGGAGCAAAGGTTAGGCTTGCAGGTAAAGGAAAACCACGCTTCTTAAACAGACCAATTGAGAAGCTTTTCCCATTGGAAGTTCAATCTCGACCGGGTGGGGAAAGGGAGGAAAGGGACATCCCTACAGCTAAGCCAGAGGGAGACCAGCATGAACGAACAAGACGAGCGGCAGCCATAATTTCAAAAGCGAAAACAAAGGCGATGCTTGATTCATAGACGTGTATGAATCAAGGTGGGTGGGGTGTCGTAAGTTCCCAGCGCAGATCACCAGTCCACGGAGCGCGAGTTAATATGTAGTAAAACTTTATGTAAAATATCTGATTTGGGTAATGTGATCTAACTAGTAATTGTAATATGATATAGGGATATACCAAATAATGACCCATTGTATATATAGCAAAATGAAATGTAATCTATCGATAATAAATCAGAATATACAGTCCCTTCGAGTGTGAACGTTTGATGAACCAGAAAGGCAGAATAAACGAAAGATTCTGCAACAATCACTTTTATTCATGCTATGACATTGTATCGTCTGAGAGCCCAGAAACAGGATTTATTGTGGCCGGAGATTTTAACCCCTGCAGTAACGGTTTCGACCCTAAGTGTATTTCGAACTACTGTGACACTAATTTCAAGCAAGTGGTCAAGGATCCCACACGTAATACCAATATTTTAGATTTAATTTTTACCAACATTGGGTCAAATTATCAGTGCCCGGAAGTAATTGCACCACTGTCAACCTCTGACCATAATATGATTATCTGGAAAGCAAAAGTGCAGCAGGATGTCACAAACACTGTGAATAAAATCAAATTTCGTCCAATACGCAGTTATGGGCTACAACAATTCACGTCTAGTCTTTCCCAGTTTGATTGGTCACCCTTGCTAAATGCACAAGATGTAAACGAAAAGGTTGCCTTTTTTACCAGATCTACCAGTGATATGATTAATTACTATTTTCCAGAGAAAACAGTTAGGATACATTCTGACGACAAATTTTCATTACAGTAAAAATAAAAGGGTTATTAAAGAAGCGTGATAATGCATATAAACAGGGACGCTCATCTAAGTTCAAGGAACTACGAAATAGAGTAGCACTAGAAATCCGTAGGGCAAAGAAGAACTACTATGAAAAGAATATTAGAGGACAGAATAGTGAAGGCAACGCTCGAACATGGTGGAAGAAGGTTTGGAAACTTACTGGAAAGAAAAGAACGCCTATAAATCTCAGTGATCCGGGATCTGGCACTACTATTGAAGATAATGACGCTGCAAATATGATCAACTCGTTTTTCGCTAATCTAACAAAGGATTTCCCGCCAGTTCAGTCCAAATGGTTATCCTATGGCCAGTGCGATACCCTACCAACTATCACACCGGAAAGCGTTGCAACCAAGCTTTCGTTAATTAAGCCTAACAAAGCTCCCGGCCCAAACGACCCCTGCCTCAAAATAATCAAAATGTTTGCCCATTTCTATGCACTTCCGTTAGCTAACATTTTTAATGCATCATTTGAACAGAAAGTCTTCCCTAAATTATGGAAAGAATTCTACTTAGCTCCAATACCAAAAGTCGAACCATGTATTGAACTGGATGAAATAAGACCAATAGCTCTTACTAGTACAATTTCAAAAATACAAGAGTCATATGTTGTCGATTGGATGTATACTGACATAGGGCCCCAAATTTGTAAAGATCAATATGGTGGTGTTCCAGGTTCGTCAGCGATCCTTGCACTCGTTTACCTTGTGCATAAATGGAGTCAAGCTTTAGAGCTACCACAACGAGTAATAAGAATTTTCTTCCTTGATTTCCGCAAAGCGTTCGACATAATTGATCACAATGTATTATTGGATAACTGTTGCAAAATAGGGATTCGACCTGGGCTAATCAGTTGGCTTGGATCTTATTTGAGTAACAGGACACAAGCGACAAGGTTTGGTAATGAAATTTCTACACGCTGTACGGTCAATGGAGGAGTGCCCCAAGGTAGTCGTATCGGTCCATTAGCGTTTATCGTTCATATTAATGATTTGCAAACGGTGATTAATGATGATCGGAACACCGGTGCTAACGATAATGATGAAGATCTTACTTTATTTATGGACGACACAACAATGTCGGAAATCATTAACGTCAGCGACCATATCTCGGGATCACAAGTTGGTAGTGCGTATGATAATGTTAGAAAAATCATGGATTTTGCTTCGTCTCAAAAAATGGAATTAAACCTTAAGAAATGCAAAGAAATGCAGTTGGACTTTCGTAAGAATAAGACGGTCATCCCGACACTTACATTTAATAATATAACTTTGGAGAGGGTCTCTACATTCAAATTACTTGGTTTATGGGTGAATGATAATTTAAAGTGGGACACAAATACTGACTACATAACAAGGAAGGCATCAAAAAGACTTTTTCTATTAAAGGTTTTAAAGAAATACGGCGCGGACATCAAAGATATGAAAAGATTTTACACCTCAGCCATCAGGCCCACACTCGAATATGGGGCGCAAGTTTGGCACGGGGGACTTACTAAAGCACAAAGTAGTCGTATCGAAAGAATACAAGAAAGAGCCTTGAGGATAATCTACTCCGAAAAGAACTATGAAAGAACATTGCTAAAAGCTGGGCTGCAAACACTTCAGGAGCGT